TTTGTTATCTTATTTTTAGCCATATACATCAATTAGTTATTTTCAAACAAATAGATACAAATCGCCTTTTTGCCAAACTGTCGAACATAATCAAATTTGCGACAGCAAGACATTGAACAAGATCCGGCCTTCCAGAAACTGGAAGCTGGTGTGACCCGATGCGGTGTATCAACAATGTTTCATAATACGATACCTCGTTGGCTTGAGGTGTCATTCCCGCTGGAGTTCCACAGAGTATCGCATTAGGGCCTTTACTGTTGTTTTTATTATATACTCTTCAAAAAAGTAAGGTATATTCAGAAACAATACAAAACTGCGGAAATGCACTGCTGTTTTTATTAGAGGTAACCAGTGTATGTTAATAACAGGCCAATTGCTTACACATGAACATAAACAGTTCATATGGGCGGTTATCTGACGGCCCCATTTCAACCGCAAAGAGATACACCGTCAAAAGTGAAAATGGACGTATTGATTTTTGCTCCCACCAATCCTCAGACATTCAGCAATTCGTCGTGGCATGCTCCTAATCAACCGTCAAATCACGATCTGGGTCAATTTGACCCACTCCTCTTGTAGTGCTGCGGCCAATTCTTGCAGTGTTGTCGGTTGACGTTGACGTCAACGAACACGTCTCCCGATCAAATTAAACGTAACACACTAAAGCAAAGATACGCTAAACAGTAAATCTTATACAAGAACCGACAGGAAAGTAAACATGGATAGATAAACCAACACGCGCCAGTTTTCATCAACCCTTCCTTGAAGTGTCAAATTTGACAATGAACCCCTCCCACGTGTATGGCGCTATTGTGTGTCGCATGTGCAGCTCAGTGGTTCTGTTGGGGCGTTTAATTCTTCATTTGTGAACTTACTCTCAAAGCATGTCAAATGTCAATGGCTATTTATCATATCGCAACCTGCATAGGTATTTGCATTTCAATATACCCTACTTTTTTAAAGAGTATATATTGACGGAATTGTGAATGATATTAAATCAAACATCAGACTAAACTGGTTGCACATAAAAAAAAAATGTACTATGGCCTTCAAATAATAAATAGATAGGCGGAAACATGGACACTGGAAACAGCAACTTTAAAATTCTCCGCTGAACGCAATATTGCAAGCAACTGAACATAAACTTAAACTGGGAATGGATTTTATTTTTGAAAACACACAGTATACATGCTACTGACATCATTCTGTTGAGGGATCAAACGTACTGGTGACATAGGCTCAAGGCTATTCCACTTGTGGGGCCCCTGCCAATCCACCACTCTCACGACTAGAAGGAAATGCCAGTGTGTTTTAAACACAATTGAGCAAAACCGAGGATGATGGCGGATGTTTGAGATTACACTGCGTGCAAGAAAGGCTTATGACAGTGTAAAAAATATTATACACCTTTTCCGGGGGGCCCAGGTCTCGAGTCCCTATAGCTAAATCCGGCACTTATGAGAGTATTCTTTTGAGTGTTAAATATATACTGATGGCAGCATTGTGTGATGGATACCACTACTGATTCCAGTATTCGGTTGAGGGATAAAACGTTCTTGTGACAGCATTCGGTTGAGGGATAAAATGTACTGGTGACAGCATTCCGTTGAGGGATAAAATGTACTGGTGACAGCATTCGGTTGAGGGATAAAATGTACTGGTGACAGTATTCGATTGAGGGATAAAACGTACTGGTGGCAGTATTCGGCTGAGGGATAAAACGTACTGCGAACAGTACGTGTAGCTCTGCAATGCACAAGGTCTATGAGTAAATTCGAACGGCAAACTTTAACCGGCCTTTTACTAATTTCGATTTAGTTTGTTTATCTGTACTTTAGACAGTTATAGCGTAATTTCATTTTGATGTCATGAGATTTCCATGTGACCGAATAAATTAACGTAAACATAAGGTTTAATCAAATGACCATTTCCATTTTCGTCCATGGGTTTTGTTTATGTGAGATATATTAAGATTATTAATTTCACCAGTGGCTTACTCTTCGGACGTAAATTGTTTAATTTTTCTATGTGGTTCAACACGTAAACATCACAAAGTTGATCAAATCAAAAATATGCGTCATTTTTGACTGTTTGTGTATATGATCAGTATTGGAAATAATTTATTACTCTGAGTTAATATGGCACAATGGCCGACTATAACCCATTTATTTCTACAACATCACAGAGTGTAGATGCGTGGGCGGTAAATCGATATGGTTGCCATGACAATCACTAATCTGTAAAGAGTTCTAACATGAATCTGGCGGGAAATATTGATCGTCTGCTTCTGGGTTTCCATCGATCAATGAAGATTGGTGGAATATTACCATGCGGATTAGATATCGTAAAAACACTAGTGATCGGCTTTGTTTACATCAAATGAAAACAAAACAAAACAAACCGAAGCAGTCTGGTTACAGAGTAATATGTAATTATACGCCCACGCAAAAGCTGTACAAATAACAAAATAAGGGTCACATATAGGTAATTTACACACCCACGTAATAAAAAGGGTCACATATAGGTAATCTACACACCCACGTAATAAAAAGGGGTCACCGAGAGGTAATTTACACACCCACGCAATAAAAAAGGGGTCACAGATAGGTAATTTACACACCCACGTAATAAAAATAAAATAATGTCTGGCGATACGTGCCCACGTTTTCACAGGCCTGGGCCTGGTTAAACAAATTTCAAAACAGAAATAATAACTCGTGTTGTGCTTGGAGAAGGGTATGCCTAAGTTTTCTAGGGATATCCTATACGTCTACTACTTATTTTGGGAATTTTCTTAACCATTGGAAAATGTACCCAATCAAAAGAGCGAATTCTGCAGAATCAGCACTTTAGCAAAATATCGCAATTGAAATTGGTACTAGGTTTAAGCACAACCTGCTGGGTCTTTCCAGTGTTTATGTTATATTAAAGAACAATGGCAAGTACTAGAAATGGTTAAACACATTCCAAATATAATTTTATCATAAAATCTTTCCCCATGTTGGTCTGTAATAACGATTCGAAAATTCCAGAAGTGACGCAAAAAAGGGAAATCAGTTATTTGTTACAGACTGAGGTAGTGACATTTAACAGCTACATGGACGATTTTCCTCTCACTGATAACATCCCCTTAAGAAGAAGCGTTTTTATATGAGACTGTGATGATGAAATAAGAAGGATATTCTATATGGTCAACCAAATGATTTGATAATATAGCAGTAGGCCTATGCATACTGGAACAAAAGGCCAGTGATCACAGCCAGCTTTTCATTTAGACATCCTCACAGAATATCTTTAATTCTTATTTTTCTGTTTTGCGCAACAGATGTTTTAACTAGTAATTCAGATAAATCTTCTAATTGATATTTTAACTCTTTATTATCTAGTTTATGGTATTGCAGTGGTATTATTATGAACGTGTATGATGCAGGTTATACCTTTTCATTTAAAACTCAAATCTTATAGTATTATTCTTTACTTACACTGATGTGATGATAGTTCGACTGTATAATAGAAGAAAAAATAGTTTTTATCTGTAAGCCAAGAATGATACATATATACTATTGATTTGTGAGTTGGTGATATGAATTTGTAGTAGGCCTAATCGGGTTCCAGTAGCTAATGTATTTATTACAACTTTTTATTATTTAACACCCATTCGACATTACTTAATCATCTATTATGAATATGAGTGTGTAGTCGTAGATGCTGTTGTAATAAAGGATAATATTGATTATTGTGTGGTGTGATAATCTAGTCTATAGTCCGGATCTATATAGTTTGTCTGTAGTAATGATGTTGGAGGTGATCAGTGATGAGTCATGTATCGTGTGGGCGACGTTTGTTAGAAAGAATATAGAAGGCTGGTGGTAGTTAGGTTGAGCATATATTTTTTCTTTTTGATTATATGGCATAATATATAGCAGAGTTGGGTGGGGGTGGGGAGATCTGAGTAAGGAATTTTATCAGATTATATAAAGCAGTATAGGTTATAATCAATCTCAAGATACCGTAATATTTTATGTTATGTTTAATTCGGACGCTTCTCGGTTAGTTTTAAAATCAACCCAACTTGACATCTAATACCTGAATATTCACTGCATCAATGTATGAGGTTGGTCATCAGTTCCTGTAGATAATGGAATTGAGATTGAATACTGACCACTCAAGCAGACCTACAAGGTTTGGATTTTAAAATAAAACTCGAGCATTCTAGCGTCCTGTATTTCACGCTTCGGGATGTAGCACATCCTTTTTCTTCGCACAAGCGGCAGGATATATGACCTCCACAAGACACCCACTTACTCTCAGTGGTTAAGACTTATGGGGGATTTTATCACAGATATTCCTGTTCTACATATAGTAGAAACGAAAAAGAACGTTCAAGAAGCTCAACTGCCATTCGAATTTTTCTGTTTTCAAATGCGCATAAACGTACCCAAGACGTCCATGCAAATTCGAAAATCACACAGAATAGATTTAATAAATATTTATGAATTAACATTTTGAATTTAATTGCGCTTTTCCGATATTTAAAACTTTTTCTTATACCCCAGTGTATAATCTCCAAAACGCATACCCATGTTTCATGTTCATAATGTTTCATCAATTTGAAAGTATGTTTCAGTTTGAAAAATTCAGAATTTTGACATGGTTCCAAAATGAACAACACTATCAAGTTTTTAAAAAATAATATCCAAAAATATGACCGGAAATATTAATCAGCAAACTCGTTCTAAATTTTAGATCTGAACATTTTGAAATGCGACGGGGTTCTTCCGTTTGCCCTATAAATTTCATTTAAAAAATAATCGTCTACAAATCAAGAAATTTGTCGATTGCGATTGAAATATGTTGACCATTATTCAACAACACTAAGATTTGTAAAAAAAAATAACATCCAGTCTGTAGAGTATTCACACACATCTTTTTAACACATGACGGACGAAGGTGACGACAATATACGTGCATAATGTGGGTGTATAAAAAGAATTCTTTCTAACCTTTATTATAGCCTATGAATTATCAAAATATCAAATGTCTTAGTTGCCATGTTTACTCATTTAAAGGTTGCTATAAGAACAACAATTCCCTGAATAAATTACAGAAAACAACGTTTCAATAAATATTACAGTGTAAATCAACACGTGGGTCCAATTTCTCGAAAAGAAAACCTAAATATTTAACAAAAACATGTCCGTTTATCAACGACAAATAAAACTAAGCTATTTAACAATGCTGGGTTGTCATTGGTCAAAATCAATTACTAAACCAACCGAAATCAGGGATCCATAATATATTTAATTACAGATTCCAATCAATTGGTGGTTTATCGTCTAATAAAGATTCGGTTTTTGAGAAATTGGACCTCGGTGACGTGCACCATATTTGTAAATAAATATTTATATGTGTTTAACAATATTTACAGTTTGCATTAGTCTTCCATTACACGACTCTAAATGGTGCCGAGAGAATTCGTAACACCGTGCTTATGGTGTTGAGATAAATCCTATAATATAGTCAAGTTTCTTGTATAAAAAAAATGATCTTAAAACCCAACCTATATATTAATCTTACAATATCAGCCAGGGGTATTCTGTAAAAAAAATACCCACTAAGAGTATGCTAACTTTAAAAACTAGACCAACAGATATCTCACAAAATATACCAACAGTATAACGCATGGCGCCGTAATATCTCATGGCGCATTTGCCGGTCATTTCCTGTTAATTTTAGCGGTTGTTTTCTGGGCATAATAACCCGGTTAAATTTATTCTTTACTTTCAAAATATTTACAACCGAGATATGTGTCAAAATTTTCCTTTTTTGCTACTGTTCATATACGAGATAAAACACGCGTGTTGCAAAAAGGTAAAACTGGTGAAGGAATCCGATGCAAAAAAAGAACTTGGCCTAAGGCATCGATCTTTCTTTTACATCGGATTTATTCACTCGGATTTTATCTTTTTAAGTACAACTTCACGAGTCGTGCTTTATCCCTTACCTAAACAAAACTATCAAATTGTTTTTATACACTTTTATCCACCATTTTATCTACCAGTCGGCAGTATGAACACACACATACACACACAAGTCTAAATAAATTATTGTTTATATCACATCATACTTCTCCTTTTACTCCACATATATACACTATAACAATAATAACCAAATTTTTTAGCCCTATAATGTCCTGTAATAAGTCAACCTTTCATACACCAGTAAATCACATTTAACAAATACGTTAGTACTATATAGACCAGGAACCGAGCATGACGTCATCGCCGCCATCTTGGAATTGTAACGTTTTATCAAAATTGAAGTTTGGCAATCGATGTTTAGGTAAACAGCATGTCGAATTTCATGTGGTAGTTCTTGAATTGGCGGAGCCTCTGGCTATTTTCGAAGAGCGTCTCCCCCAAGAAGATGAGTAGCGTTTGGGGCCTAGTTCCTGGTCCAACAAAAGTTCAATCGTGCTCTGTAGCCCTATATAATCGAGACTAACTGGCTCTATAAAATGTAGTCTCCTTTACACCAGTGAATTACATTTGCAAAGTAACGATTAATAAATATCCAACCACAACAGGCACACTTAGCACTCGTGGTATCTCTCAGAGTTAATATTCGTTTGTGCGATACAGGGCGTGCTTAGAGGTTTTGAGACCACTATTGTCATACCATTTTGAGAGAGTAGCTTATGGAACACAACTCTTTAGAATTCGAACAGTCGCTAATTTTAAGAAGAAATTTCTTCGGATCATTTCCGTAGTCTATCAAGAAGTAGAAACACGATGTTTATCCATAGATGCAATTTTAAGATGAGGAGCTTGATGGGGCGCCGTCTGACGTTGCGCAGTTTGGTGTAATTCGATGGTTTGATTTGTATCGTTGTTGAATTGCTGTTCGGTGGGGACAATGCTACATAGATCGTTATTATTGCTTATTGCACTCTGATTCCAAAATCGACTGTATGGTGTGGTAATTCCACGTGGAGAAATAGGGGTCCGGCGAGGGGAACTGGGGGTTCTGCAGGGAGAAATAAGTGGACAAGGAGGCGAATAAGGTGGGCGACGAGGGGAATTAGGGGGGCGACCCGGAGAAGAGGGGAGCTGACATGGTGACGTAGGGATTCGACAAGGAGATGTGGGAAAACGACAGGAAGACGACGGGAATCGATAGGGCGACGAAGGAAACCGATAAGGAGAGGAGGGGAAGCGGGAAGGGGAATACAGGGGTCGGCAGTTGGCGGACGGGGACCTGGGTGAGGAATGTGAAACCACTATTTTCTCATAATTGTAGAGTTGCATCATAAAGTTAGCGTTGGGTGAAATACTCTCACGTCGAGATTTGATATAATCAAAAGCATCCTCCAAGCCGACACATCGTGTGAACATTAAATAGGCTAAACATATTGTAGCTGATCGGCTCACCCCACCCTTACAATGAACCAAGATCTTTCCTCCTTTCTCACGATCTTGTTCTGAAATATAACAAAATATAGAATATTCAATCTTGTACGTAAATTCAGTTGTTGACGGACGATTTCACGCAGCAAATAACTTTTTGTTGTACTTTTGGAAAATATTCTTACATCGTAAATTTAATGACACAAATTTTATTTACTGGTCATTTATTTGTATTTCGTATCTTCTACTCACCAATAAATTGGATGGCATCTTTAAACCAAAAATATAGATCCGCACTCGCAGTGTCTTCTACTGGTATTATCTTGTACCGGAAGTCGTGGGGGAAATGGTTGGCACAAGAAGTGGATACATTCAAGATGGCGGTTATGCCCAGATCTAGAAGTTCCTCTTTCATAGAGGAATGGCTGGCATCACCCAGATATAAATATGGTAACAGTTCAACGGGCGACGTCTAGAAGAAATAAACAAAAGCAAAAATGATAAATAACCTTATTGGGAGAACGTATGAAATTAACATTTGTAAGCTAGGTTTTTGTTAAAGAGTTAGAATGTTATTGCTACTTTATGCAATACCTTCTGTACAGCAGAGAAAATTATTTAAAAATCTACTAAAGTAAATGTAGGTCGATTAATCCGCTGGAGTTATCCGATATGTCTAGTTATATCATTGTGAGCGACCAGGGTTGTGTTTAGGGATAAGATGTTGAATGGGAGTCACAACAAACCATGAATGTTTTATGATTTAATCGTTTGGAAACTGAAGCTAGTTTTTTCCACGACCTTGTTTTATATCCAGATTGTCTTCAATCAATAATAATATTTAAGTTTAGACAAGTTCTGGTCGACAAATCCACGTCTGTTTATATTTGTTCGCTTGACATAAATTGACGTTAGATTGGTTGTTGGTATTGGCGAGGTTTTGTTTACTTTAGGGTCGCGTTATTGTGTTTGTTGATGAAATAAATAAACAATGTTTCTCGGTTCAACCGGAACAAACACAACACGCGCTGTTCTCAACAAAAACAAAACAATCCCAAGTTTTATAAACTAGAGCCCATAATCATAGAATCAGTCTTAAACGGCATCTTTCATTTGTGTTAATTTGATTTACAAGGCTGATATAATTTCAAAATTTTAAGTACGTAGATTACGCTAATAAGTAAATTATACACATACAAAAGTACAAGTATTATACAGAGTTTGCTTCATCACTAATCCGATCTCGAGCACAATGGATCATATTATCACCAGTCGCCATTTTACAAACTTACAATTATACCAATGTAGTCAAAAAGACAAACTTTTATGGAAATATGAATAAATCGGCAAAAATAATTGAATGAGACCAAATTATGAAGTCTGTCCTTATCTAACAATAATATGTTTTACATTTTAAAAGTGAACTTACCGATGATAACCTTGGTCGTTTGACTTGTCTGTCTGGTTCAATATCAGGTAGTTGTCGACATTGTGATGCCAGTTTTAATGTTAATCCGTCTAATGATGACGTGTGTGATAAACTGTTTAATGGGGAGCTATGACCCATGCACAGATGTGGATAAACTTGTTTGCAACGCAAAAAACCACCTGAAACGAACAAATCATCTATTAAAAAATGTTCTCACGACATATACGAATATCGGCTAATATTTAGTACACCGAAGAACTGCAAAACAAACACACAAAAAAGTTACAAAAACAAAGCACAGGCAGCTAATAATTGGATATATATCCAGAAAAGATAAAATTGAACAGGAAAAAAAAAACGAAAGTCATTGCATCCGTGATACTTTAACACCGAGTTAACCTTTTGTTTAAACATATTTAATGTATTAAACACGATTCTAGTGTAAATGTTTTGGGGAAAGCTAAGAAAACGCTCCGATACCGTCTAAAATACATTGCCATTATTGTAAGATGTATGTAGACCTTGTTGCACTCCCATGATCATAGAAATTTTATTTAATACCCGATAAAAATCTACAGTTATGGACTAATATTAACTATTGTGGAATGAATTCCATAAAAAGGAATACATTTTATGTACAATATTGTAGCTTTTATATCGCCAAAGGATTTTTCATGTATGGATTTGATGATTGTATCCTAATTGAACCCCGACTGTGCCGCGGGTTACTGGTATTCCTCTGCCAGTATCGATGGTAGTTTTAAAAGATGAACATATTATTGTAAACGTTAAATATAAATTTCGAATAAACATTTGATAGCCCTATGATAATTGCCCATGTTTTGTAGACCGAGTATGGTCTGTATGTTTTTTGGTCGTTGGTGTATTATGTGCTGTTTTGTGAGTACGGTTTCTAGAAATCAACTGAGACATTCCGCCTTTTCACCAACCGTCAATACACCCCCACCCCCTACACAGCCTCCCGTTACCCCCTCCTCTCACAGAGAGTAATATGGATAATGGTTAGTGACATTTCTGGCTTCCTGTGGCTTTAAATGGATTTGTGTTAATCTGTTGGTTGTAAATTTCAAGAGATTATCCTCAATGTTAAGATTATCCTAAGGGTATTAGCAAAGAACGGGGTCTTTGATGTGTCTTGTTTGGGATTAGCTAGCGATGTATGCCCATCAATCCTTTTCTTCCGCTTCCTGTTTTGAATCCGCCAATATTTTATACCCTTTAAACATACATTATGCAAGAGCTAAATCTGCCTATTACAGATTTTTCTTCAGGTCTGAAATGTTATATCGTCGGTGAAGTATTAAAAGGGTGTATCTAGAATTTCTAAAGATTAAGAAATAAAACCTTTTGCATTTCAGAATTTCCACAAATCAAGATACAACATTTGGACACATAATACCCAGAACAGTTCTAATTGGCGTAGAGATACACAGCTTAGATAGAAATGTGCATATTAATTTGGAGATTTTGAAAATGCAAAAAAGGTGTATTTTGACTAATTTCCCGAGATACACCCTTTTGACACTTCACCGACGATATAAACTATTAATTCGACATTTATTAACTAAACAAGACCATAACCAACTCTTGATGGCATCGGATACTCGTAATTTTAACTAGATTATAACGGTTCGCCATTTAAAAATTTAATTTAAAAATGAGAAAGCTAGGCTAAGTCTCGAATATACCAGTGCCCTGGTTACCACTATGCAAACATCTTGTCAAAACTACAAACAGTGATAACTTGGCTCAGAATGAAGTAATTTGAATGACATTTTTAATATTTTAATTTTACATTATCTATTTTTAAGCTATTATAGCAAGAATGTTCAGCTCTTTATCTCAATCTTACATAATGTATCTTTAAGTGAATAGGTTCCATTCATTATGCACGAGTAGACGACATATTGTTGGCACAATAACTAACTAATGTAAGGATGAACAGATTGAACCAACTAGAAACAGGTGTGCATAGTTAAATCTGGATATGGCTTGCAATATAAGAGTAGTAAATTCGTCAAGAAACAACAATCTATTGTAGCTATGACATATTACAAGCTACAGTACACAATGATTATTCTAACATTATTTATTTTACTCAATCTACATGCATTATACTACATTTTGCATTTATTTTTAATGGTAAGCTTTTCAAAAATCAATTCTATCATTTATACTTTCATTAGCAAACGTGGTCGGGTATAGTCAACCAGTATGAAGTACAGGGCAAGGCGTGCTCACTTGTTCTAGAACATCTCATATCACTTCCTTATGCGGGTATTGACATTTTTTATATATACTCATTTAGGCAGTCTATAGAGAGCATTTATTATAAATGGTATTTTGTTCTTCATTTATTGTAGGATCTACATGTATTCCGTTTAATAATAAATTCAATGCGCTAAAATACAAACAATTTTAATTAATCATTCTAATTTCCTGGTATAGATTTTTTTTTTCTGAATTGCAATCTTCACATTATTTAAATTAAATGTAGAAACCTTTACTCTAGAAACAATCGAGCACTGGAAAGGCTGACGTCTGCCAAATTCCATAAATTATTATAGCATATGGTCGCATTGCAGTGTCAATATTGCAGTTTTGCAGCTTAATTTTAGAACTTAAATTTTTCAACCGATACCCGATAACTCAAAGAATGTATATCTTGAAAATCAGACATATAAAAGCATTTACTCACCTGCTAATACCAAAATCTTCTTATTTCCTAAAAATCTTGAAAAACTTTTAAAAAGCAGATGCAAGTCTATTTTCTCATTAGACATGTTTAACTGGTCCGTATCTTGATCATATAGAATAACTGTATCTAGATTAGGTCTGGATAAACAACGCTTGGTATCTTTGGACATGATAAGGTCTAACGGAAGACAAATTGGGTATCGTTTTTTCACTAAAGGTGTACAATAAACATTAACAGCCGTTACAATCCTGCCCTTGTTATAGTGTATAAATGACCGAGTATCTATAAGTTGAACAGAACGAGAATTTTCATTCAGTAATTGCTGGACACGTGAAGGAGAAATAAATATAACATCCATTCTATCACGACCTTCGTCCGTCCTGTCGTCTTCTGTATTAATGAATGGCACACGCTGCCACTAGCTAGCAACACGCGACCTACTTCTACGACGTACAGATCGATCGTAGCGCGAGCTCAATCAATTCGTTCATTCATAAACTCTCTCGCCACCTTTCAACCTTGAACTTTGACCACACCGTCTCTTTTATTGCTTTATTGATGTTGTTTTTATTTCAACCAATGACAGCGTTGCTGTGTTTGTAATTACTATATCGACATATATTACCTTTTTATTATTTATCCACAGTAAACATAGAAGTGCCTGTACTTTTTAGAGCAGCGCGACAGGACAGGGGCGGGCTATGCGCTAGAGACTCGCCCATGCTGAAGAAGCATAAAGTTGATATCGGGAACCTTCATAATTCCCTTTTACTGCTTGATTCCATGTTCTGAACCTAGGGAGGCGCGTCACTGCATATAGGTGTATTACTTTATGTGCGATACCAACCGGTGTATAACCCTTTCAGTAACAGTGGTACATGTATGGGAAGTAAATACAAATACATTTCAAGAATACAAACAGTTTGGTGTTTAGTAATAATCTCTATTCTCTATTCAAGATTAGACAAGAAGTTCTTTCTGGGTAAAAATAAACTATTGTATATTATTTTTTCGTCAAAATAATTCTATTAAATTTAATCATTTAAATCAAATTATAATCCCCCTTAAGTTAATATAGGTAGCTGAACTATATATAAATACATATAGAATTGGTATATATACATGTGTTTTTAAAACAGCTTAAAGCAGATGCATGTCAGAACAAAAATATTTCAGCTGTCTACTTTTCGGCGCTTCAACAGTTGGCAGAAATCAGATTATAAATCCTTCGAAACACTTGATATGAATAATCCAAACGTCTTGTAGACATTTTATTTATGTCATATTAAGACTAACAGCCTGATGTTATTTTTATTTCTATGGCAAAGTTCGTGATGTGAGGGGGAGAAGTCTTTCAACTTTTATACCCCATCTCTCTCACAATCACACTAGAATAATCTACACAGGGCTAATACAGCCCCAAACTAAACCTAACGTCAGTTCTATATTTCAACGTTTCGTTTGTGTGCAAAGTTATACAAGTTAGCCTACTATTCCGCTTCATACACGACATTCCATTATACATTAGATAATTAGACGATTTATCAAACTAAGCCTGCAAAATTGTTACTAAACTAGATAAACTGATCCAACAAATGTGAATTCTACAAATTAGAGCCAAAATTTCAAAATCTATACAAGTATATTACAGAACCCCTAGCAAACTGGTATTTACACCCGGGCACCGTAATAGCAAATTCCTACCTACGCCACTGCAGTATAGTCAGTGTGAGACTGACGACAGAGCACAGAGGAACAGACTTCAAATCGATATATTCTAATTTAAAGAAAATAATGTTTAAAAAAAAACAACCAACGCCAATATCAAAGATTATGAACTTGGTATCGAAAAGGGTAACAATTAACGCAAATAGAAGATATTGTTGCAACATAACTGTACCAGACACCGGTTTAGACTAGCGGGTGTAGAGAAAAATAATTGGCCAATGAACCGGGAGTAACAGAAACCCGAAATCAGAATTGGTAGTGCACGTGTACATTTTTAAACATCATCGAAGAGTCAATTGACTACCCAGCGAAAATTAGTGTGTATTGCTACTGGTTGACGGAATCTAGAGTAGTGAACTTTGATTCCAATTATTTTATTTCAAGTTGTTTCTCGCCGAGTTAGAAATCCGAATCAGACCAGTTATTTCATAATCTCGCTTACGAACATTTACGTAATGGAATTTAATCCCGACACGGTTCTCTTACCAAGGAAAAGGACACTTGGAGCCGAGTTTTACTAGCGACCCTTGGTGGGAATTTCTTCAGCGAAAATGCCAATTAAGTTACTGCAAAGTACAAACCCTAATGTGTGGCAAACATACGCAGCGTTGTATAAAGACGAGTCGACCTGTCAATTTTATTTTATTTATTGATTCGATCAAATGTATTATGTATGTTATAATTATTAATGAATGATAAAATAAATAAATATTTAAACATATCGTATTTATCGAACACTTGTGTCTATTAGATCTAATAATGATCTGATTGTGTTGAAAAATAAATTGGATAGACAAGTATGATAAATTTTGTTCTTCTTTGCTTGGTGTGTGTGTTTACGTAGAGTGTACTTAAATATATTTTATGTAAGAGCTAAATCTGTCTATTGCAGGTCTTTCTTTTAGCCTCAAGTGTTATTTAAATTATTTATTATACATGTGCATTTATTCACATGAAAAGCCCATAACCAACTCTCTAGATCATCAGGTGGTCGCGTTTTAATGGGTGAAACACGTTCTCCATTTAATAATTTAATGTATTATTGTAACGATGCTAGCAATGAAAATCGAGACAACGTTATTCTTATCAAAACTTCCAACATTGATAACTTCGTTCAGAATAAAGTAATTTGATGAAATTTTCAATATTATTTCCTTGTCATTATCCCTTTTTTAACTGTCAGTCTTTATGTAAATTGTAACAAAGCTAGCAATGAAAATCGAGACAACGTTATTCTTATCAAAACTTCCAACATTGATAACTTCGCTCAGAATAAAGTAATTTGATTGAAATTTTCAATATTATTCCCTTTTCATTATCTTTGTTTTTAACTGTCAGTCTTTATGTAAATCTTACATAAAGCATCTGTAATGGTTGGCGTATATATAGTACAATGGGGAACAACTCCAATAAGATAGGCTACTAGTTGAAGGTAGACCCCCCCCCCCATTAAATATCAACATCTCGGAAGAATAATAGAGTTAAGAGGCCGGTTACGGCGATATATGTACGACGGATTGTTGAATGCTTCTAGTATGCCACTTTATGTATCTCAGAATTTCATTGGTCAAGCTCATACAAAATCTGGAGCAAAGGCATGGCCATTTGTTGCTCTGTCTGTAGTGAGAGGCGTTCAGCCCAACGAAAATTTTGGGAAAAGTTGGAGCCGGACAAAGAGACAGAATTAACATTGACGGAGGTCAGTGTGGAAATAAATGATGGTCTGCCTCCAGTTATTCTGGAAGTCTGGGGCCGGGCAAAGAGACAGATGACCATTAAAGGAAGTCAATCACAAGAGCTTTAAATTAAACCCTCGCTCGAACTGGAAGCCAATGGAGTTTCTGTAACTTAGCTGATATATGATCAAATTTTCGTGTTTTAGTTATGAGACGTGCAGCTTTGTTTTGCGCTATTAATTTGTAGTCTGTTTAATGCTGTTTCTGGTGCTCCTAATAGAAGAGAATCTGGAGGTGGTCTTTACAAATAGATTTAGCCCTCAAACTACCTAGACATATATAAGTAAATGGTCGGTTATGTAGGATATGCAAGCCAGGGAGCTATAAACTAGGGTCCGTATTCCAAAAATGTCTAATGGTTAAGTGAAAATACTTATTTTTTCCACTTAATCATGTGTGTTATCGGTTATCAAAGGCTACATTTTACATATCCTTGACGATATGGAAAACATTACTGCCCCTTTAACTTATGGAATGCTGGCAAACACCAAAAACTACGAATTTCTAACCTTAGGAATACCCTCCACCACTAAAAATCAAGTTATGTCCCTTACCACTACTCCATTAAAATCTTATAAGTTGTCATTCTAGAAAATGTTATATTTTAATACGTGAAAATATTATGACGAAAAATGATAGTACGCGTCGTATGCAGGAACTGTTTAATGGTAGTTTATTTTATTATTATTTTTTTAATTTCAATTTTAATAGATTTCAGTGAGAGTTATCGAATAGTGGTAGCATAATGTCGAATATTGTAAACTTTATTATCTTAATTTGTAACGAATAGAAAACAACATCTTCGTATCACCAATACTCAATGCCTGGCGTTGACTGTACATATGAGTACTAAATAAGGACAAAAGATGAAAGGTGCAAGGGGCGTTATTTTCTACCTGAATAAATACTACCGATTTAAACGGAATAAGTAATACAATAAATTAAGTGTAACGCTTTGGTCAGCAGTAACCGTGAAATATATATTGGGGGGGGGGGGGGGTCCGCAAATAAAATTATATAAAATGTTGACAATCTGTGACGCTGGAGGTAGCGCGATAGGGTCACCCTCCAAATTGGGGGGGGGGGGGGTGGAGGGGGGGGCACCCCAATAAAAGTTCCAGTCTTCTGTAAACACTGTTTTGGCATTTTTTACGGGGTTAAACTAAAACATCACACCAATACAATGTTTATCATGTTTAAGTCAGGGGTTACGTATTCATATTTTTTTCATGACTTTTACATATTGAATGTTACGCTTGAGTTATGAACAACACGACAAAGAGAGTTTAGTAGGGGAATTTTTATGAGGAGGATCCAAATGAAACAAAACTTGATCACATAACTTTAGTTTATGAGGATGCATATTTGACAATCTCCTTGTTAACTACAATACTATATACATATACACATTGACATTTACAAGAAATTTGTATAGATATTTAAAGTATTTTGTACCTTTTGTGTATTATAAATGGATTTCAAAAAGTAAACATAAGTTTGATGGTCACAAACTGATAAGGAAGGGGTTATTAAATTATATTAATAGCTTGTACTGTATGTATAAAGTATACCAAAAGAACAGCCCTTTTTTCCATAAGCAGCGGTGATGCGTGAAATTATACTTCTGGAATATTTACAAAATATTACTGACAGGCTAACTAGAGACAATTTTATGGAACACAGTTACCTTTCACTTCACACATGTTTCCAGGATGATTCTCTCTGTGTTTTATTTTAGCAATGTAAACCATACTGGGATATGCACAGGTTTTATACAGATAGAATCTTAACTAATCCTAATAATTGTTGTCAATAAATAGGAGTTAGGGACTACTATGTTAAACAATAAATTTGGGGGGGAGGGGGGTCCAAGTATATTCAGACCCCCCCCCCCCCATGTGTGACGCCCATGCACACCCCACAAGAATATCATCTGAAGATAACTTGGCCGTTTTTACTACCTT